TAATGCCTGCTGATGTTTGAGAATCACTGCTGTAGCCCTGAGCTCTATCAGGAGCCACCAACCTAGGGGCAACTCTAACTGTAGCCCCTAAGTATGTGCGGACTTGATTGCGCCAGGGCATCACCTGGACTGCTAATAACACGTATTTTTATTGCACTGCTCCTATGCTGTCTCATATTTGTGAATTTGAAAGTCAATAACCTCACGCCTTTGGAGATGGGACTGTACCATCTACTCCTGCAGCTCCCCCACCCAGGAATAAGCAGACAGCAGAGCTTGGTACTGCTTGCTTGATTGCTGGCCGGATGGAACCAGCACCAGGGCACCAAGGTAGTTAGTCCTGATAGACGGTCAGTTTCTGGCCTGGAAGCTGTTGCTTCATCAGCCAAAGATGCATAGGAGGCTCTCCTATAAGCTGTGCAGGCAGCTCTGGACTGCAGAAGGGCCGAGCCTGGCAGGTGTCACACCCAGAAGTCTGGGTTCTGCTCATTGCAACCAAGGCCTCTGTACACGCGTGCCTCGGAGGACAGGAAGCACCTGCAGACATGGGAAGCCTCCATCCGCAAAGAAAAAGCATAGTTCTCTTGTGTTGTTGTTGTTTGTTTTGCTTTTTTTTTCTTCAGAAAACCAGAATAATAACCTGACAGCAGTCCAGGCATTTAAAAAGATGTTAAAAGAAACTCAATTTCAGAGGATTTTTACTAGGCTGAAAACAGATGTGGCAAACCATTTGAGGATATTCTGTGAAATGAGATGGGGAGGACCGGATGTGAAATGGCTCCTCCGCCTCTTCTGGACCCGCCCTGCCAGGTGCTTCTGCCTGGGAGGCGGCTTGCCCGGCTCACTCACGGTCTGGAAGGAAGCGCCCTACGCTTCCGTTCTTCCAATTAAGGGCTTTGGCTGGAGGCATCCGAGCGCCGCAGTGGACCCAGTGCAGAGCCAAGCGGTGCCTTAGAGACTACGCTCCTGCCATTCCTTTGCAGTTCCGGGAAGGCGGCTGCACCTGTCCACTCAGAACGCAGCTCAAGTTCAAAGCCGAGGGGAGGTGCTTAGGGCGGCGTGGGTGGGTAGGCGGGGGCTAGTCAGGAGCCGGGCCTGTCTGCATCCGGAGAGTGGGTGGAGCGGACGGTTTGAAGCAGACAGGCAGGATCAGATTTCTAGTGGAGTCTGAACAAGCGCAGGGGATTTGGGAGTTTGTCTTTTAGGGAAATGAAAGTCTGAGCCATCAAGTGTCCAGGGAATTTGTTGTCCCTGATTCCAAGATATTCGCTTCTATATTTATTAAAAATTTGAAGGTCAAGAAGGAAAGGAGTCTAAAATAAGTGACACACCGAAAGCCCGACACACTTTGTCTTCTGTTATTGAGCCACTTTTAATGGATAAGACTCACCTAGATAAATAATATTTTTTAATTAGTTAAGTCATGACTAGTATAACAGGTTGCAAGTGTGAGCATAGTTTTTGTTCAGAAGTAATTTTTAGAGAAATAAATGGGTTTTTAATTGTTTATTCATTCCATCAATAATGACTTAATTTGGAAAGCATGCCTATTACTGTAGCTTTATATCTACTGCCTTCTGGTTGTGTAATGGACGTGGCAAAAGGTAGAAGCAGTCCTCCCAGCACACAGGAGATCCCAGTGTGCCACGGAAAGCATGTCTGTTAGCAGTGTTGTGGAAGTAGGGTGTCCTACATGAAACACGTGAGATCATTATTGTCAAATTAGACAGTATATTTATATTTACATCATAAATATGCATGATGTACTGAGACATAGTTTACCCACAGGAAAGGAGGAAGTATAGGCATCCTATTTTAGAGACAGCACGGGTATCCATGATGTCCAGCTCCAAGATCCTTCCAGGTTGACCCTTTATAATGTCACAGGTAATATCTGCTTGATAAGAGCAAAGAAAATCCCAACAGAGACTCAAAGCTTAACACAACACTGTCTTTATCCCAATGTTCCCTGCATCTCCAGCCTCCAGTGCCTAGCCCACCTGGCTCATGTCTTACCAACTAATGGTAACAAGACATACCTAGAACTGCACAGAATTCAACAGCTTGAAAGTTTTATACAGGAGCAGCTAAAAAAAAAGACCGATCACACAGCACACTGCCAACAATGCACCATGAACCTGCCCCGTGTAGACTTTCCCCATCTACATTGATCTTCTGACTTCTTCCGTGAACTTCAGTTCTTCATGTATTGTATGTTGTGTATTGATTGTACATGGAACACAATAACTGGGTGTGGGAGCATTTTCAGGAATAAGCCGAACAACACCTTTCTCCATGCCAGCTGGCAAAAAGCAGGTGTCAAGCATTCCAAAAATGGAGCCATCCCATTCTAGCTTTGGAACTGGCATGCTTCATCAGGGCATCAAGAAGAGATCTCGTATCTGTGGAGGAAGGACTTCAGGCGGTGGGGATGGGTTGGCAATTAAGAAAATACTTTCAAGAATAGAAGAGCTCTACAGCTAGGAAGAGATAAATGGGTGAAAGAAGAGTTCACAAGAAGGAACACATGTGTAGGAGTTGGACTGTGGGTTATGTTTGTCCTTGAGTATAAGATACTTGTAAGTGGAGAGGAAGGAAAGTGGTAATAAATAAAGCTGAGAGCAGCTAGCTGTGGGCAGATTTTAAAAGGTCTTTACATGCCAATACACAGATTTTCTATTCAGCAGTAGTTGAAATGGGAGAATCTTGAGCAGAGCAAGTAAATAGCTAAGGAAGGCTTCTTTTTCCAGTTGTAGTACATGTAGATAGAATGACCCAGCAAAAAGAGAATAGAGCCAGAGGTTCAATTGTGGCATACAGAATTAAAAGCTGGAAAACATATTTGAGAGATGCAAAAGTACTTTTGAAAGTTTGTAGAAGAGGGCAGCACTGTGGCATAGTACAGTAAGCCTCTGTTTGTGGCACCAGCATCCCATATGGGTTCCAGTCATGTACTAGCTGCTCCACTTGTTATTCAGCCCTCTGCTTAAGGCCTGGGAGTGCAGTAGAGGATGACCCAAGCCCTTGTGTTCTTGCATCCATGTGGGAGACCCAGATCAGCTCAGCTATGGTCATTGCAGCCATTTGGGCAGTGAACCAGTGGATGGGAGACCTCTCTGTCTCTGTGATTCTGCCTTGTAAATAAAAATAAAGATGATGTTAAAAGGTGTTTACTTGGGCACCAAATATGTGCAGGGTCAGGTGTTTAGCCTAACGGTTTGGTTATGTTGCCAGTATCCCACGTGAGAATACTGGCACGTAATCTGTGACGCCTACTCCTTGGTTCCAGCTTTCTGCCTACGTAGATCTTGTAGAGGGTAGTGATGAGGCAGGTAATTGGGTTTCTGTGCACGTGTGGGAAACCTGGTTCAAGGTTTTGATTCCTAGCTTTGGCTTCCGCCAACCCAACCATTTCAGGATTTAGGGAGTGAATCAACTAACAGAATCTTGTTTTCCTGCTCTTTTTTTCTCACTCTGCCTTTCAAGTAAAATGTTTAATTGTTTAATTGAGTCTTTGCAGAAAAGTCATAGAAAATGCATATTATGAAAAATGATGTATGGATTTCAAAGATTTTGGGCACCAAAATTCAGGGGTTTTTTTAAGATTTATTTTTATTATTTTTTTATTGGAAAGGCAGATATACAGAGAGGAGAGACAGAGAGGAAGATCTTCCCTCTGATGATTCACTCCCCAAGTGAGCACAACGGCCGATGCTATGCTGATCCGAAGCCAGGAGCTTCTTCCGGGTCTCCCACACGGGAGCAGGGTCCCAAAGCTTTGGGCCATCCTCGACTGCTTTCCCGGGCCACAGGCAGGGAGCTGGAAGGGAAGCGGGGCTGCCAGGATAGAACCGGCGCCCATATGGGATCCCGGGCGTGCAAGGCAAGGACCTTAACCACTGCGCCACCGCGCCGGGCCCAATATTCAGTTTTTCAAATTACCTTTGCAAATTTCAAAGATGTTCCTAGAGTTGGCATCTGGTTGAATTTTGGAGAAGGAAGAGCCAGGCTTTATGCACAGATGACTGGCAGTAATGTGGAAGTCAAGAAGAGAATCTGACAGTGAGCAATTGCCTTGTATGAGACATGTTGTTTTTGAGATGCTAGAAGGACCACCAAAGGAAAAGATCCCCAAATCAGTTACATAAAAAGGTTGAATTCCTTGAGGAAATAGGACCAGAGTTACAGAAGTCCATCCCTGGAAGAGCAGGGACAGGATTGGTTGGAACTATTGAGAATGCAGGGGATGTAAGAGGCCAAGCACAGAACCCAAAGATGGCATGTCCTGCCCAGCCTCTGCACTGGGCTTGCCTTGTCCCACGTACTTACTGAAGACTGACTGCAAGAACTACACGACAGCAGAACCACTGGGCTGCCAGGGGCCAAGGCTCACACATTTCCTCTTCCTGGAAAATCTCTTATCAAAGGCTTCAGATAATATGGAAAGATACATGTGCCTGTCTTTCTTATCAAGTTTTATTTATTGAATTCACTTTGATTAAAATGAGTCGGAAGCTCTAACATGGGAAAACCATGTCACCATTTCCTTTTGCTGAAAAAATGTTAAGCTTTCATGTTCATTCTCATGCTCTTCTTGCGCCTTCTCAAACATTTTCAATTTCTGAAACCAGAAGAAATTTAAGATTTAGAGAAGCTTAAATTCTGTGCACTTCCTTTTGTTGTTTATTTTTCTAGGCCATTCCCCGAGTTGAGGTGCACAGGAAATGAATAGTTCCTATAAATGGTGCTTATGGTATAAATACGAGCTCAAGCCATTTTTGTCGGATTTCCTCCTGTAACTCAAATTTTATTTTCTTCCAGGGAAAGGCAGGGAAAAGGTGACCTTAAAAAAATTAGACCTTGCTCTTGTATATACAGTTAACTTTTGTTTCTGTGTGCCAATTATATCCTGTAAATCATAGTGGGACCCATCATTGAAGAAACTCTTAAAAACAGAAGCAAAAAACCTAAACCCATACTTTCCTTTGTGTTTTCTGAAGGTCAAATGCTGCAAATATTGGCCAGATGACACAGAGATATACAAAGACATTAAAGTTACCTTAATAGAAACAGAACTGCTGGCAGAATATGTGATCAGAACATTTGCTGTTGAGAAGGTAAGTGTCTGTGCTAGCCCCATCGCTTCCTCTGGGATTCTGTATCTGTGATTATACCTGAACACAGGTGGGCTCTCTGGTGTCTTCTCAGGACTGCACCTTGCCCTCTGATTCTATAATGGTTCGATGCCATCATTAAAGTACATCATTCCCATCTCATACGAAGCTGCACTTTGCAACGAAACCAAATCAATGTTTCCTATTTGTGTGCCTTTTCTTCTGGGCCTGGTGATACCATTCCGGCCATCCCTGTTTGTAGAACAAAGTCTGTTCCATTTTTATATCTGCCCTTCCAGTTGGATAATTTTCCTTCATGTTATATGTCCACGATAAACTCCCCAGTAATCGCTGTTGGCACACGGGTGCAAACTTCTCCTGGCTTCCCTCACATCCATGAGGTTTTTTAGGCCTAAAGGTTGCCGTGGTCTGAGGCTTTTCCAGGGAAAAATAACGAGCCTGGAAACCTAAGCGAGTGATCACTCTTGCATGAGCTAGCGCATTCGTTCATACTCACTCCCATCCTGACGTCAGCCTTTTGAAGTTGCTGGTGTTGAGTCAGTGAATGCTATGCTGTGCTTCTCCCTTGCCTCATCCCATGTGCATGGATGGGGCTCCTCGCTTGGGAAGCACTGTAGGGCATAACAGGGAATTTCCTTATCCCCCCCCCCTTTCTGCTGACATAGGGAGGGGCCGGAGGTGAAGCCAACTGCAGTCCGTCCAGAGAAGTGTCGCAGGTAGGCTGTGGGGAAGATGGAGGTGACGTGACTGGGAGGCACTCTGCCTTCCAGAGGTCCACAGGCTTTTCTATCAAGCACTGAGGTCCTGAAACGGAGCCTGCACAGCTGCATGGGACCGAGCAGTTTGGCTGTTCATTTGTTCTTCTTACACTCATTTAATATAATAGCAGGTCCAGGTTGTAAGCAGACTGCTAGGCAGCTGGCTGTTGGCTCTCCTGTGTACTCTATGTTCTCACTGAAGTTATATGTCCACTGTGGATTAACAGAATCAGTTTTAGGAAGTCAAGGCAATGAGAGCATCTGCTTATTGATAAATTTACCCTGATGTTTTGAGCTACTATTTCTGGTTTGCAAATCCAAATTGGTCATAGACTCTCAGGGCTGAAAAGATTTTATTTTAATCTAGTTCTCATACTATTTAGCATTTTTTTTTTCTTTTAGCCTGTCTTTTTTAATAAGCAAGCAGGAGGCTTGGAGACTTCAAAGAAATTGTAGTTCTGGTTGACTCAATTCTTCAAGTTCTGAACCTCACACTTTGATGTCAATTTTTTCCTTCTTAGGCAGGATTGGGGGAAAAAAACAACATGTGGAAAATTTTTGGATGGCTCCTGGCAAGAACACTCATGAATAACTGCATTAATACAGATAGTGATAAAAGATCCTTAATATTTTTTTCTCTAGGAAAAGAAAATCCAGTGAATTCTATCACTTAGCTATGGAGTTATTTGAATAATAGTCAGCCTTCTAATAAGCTATAAGTGCATCTCTGTTGCTAGAGGAAGGGTTTGTTTGTTTCTTTGTTCTTTTTAACCTCTTATTATGCTGTTCTACATTGCCAACTGCACAGAAATTCTTTTTTGGTTCTCAGACAACAGTTAAGAGCTGGTGGAAGGAAGGGATAGACGAGGGGCTTATTACTGCAGTGGGGAGATCTCAGGGACGTGTCATTGATTTTCTAACTGGGCAACTGGAATCTTTGAGGACAATAAATCATTGAATTTCTGCAGAACATTTCTGGTAGATTTTAAACTTTCTCATTAAAAAGCAAAGGAAAACAACAGGTAGGCATGCACTTTGAGATTAGTGCACTTGTGTTTCTGCTTTGAGATTGTATATCCAGGTGAAAGATGGACTTGACTGCTCACCCATCTATTGCATTGTGATTTGAAACTGAGAAATTCCTGTTTGGCATCTGACTGTCCCCTTGCCTTTCCATCAGATTTGATGATTAATTCTAAACAGATGTTACATAACTTAGGAATCTTCCAAAAGTGTGTGGGAACACAGAATTAAGAGATAAATTTATTTGAATTCCTTGCGTAGTCTTTCCATAACATGCTTTCTGCGAACTTACTGAAGTTTTCGTGTGTGCACAGACTTCAAAAAGTTTGAAGCAAAAACAAACTTCCCTTTTAATTCCATTTGTCCAAGAATTTCTCAAAGTAACTTCATATAGTGGTCATTGCGCCAGGAGAAGGGCAGTTCCCAAGTCTCTGTATCTAGACTGTCTGGAGAGCGTAGATTTACTCAGACTGGCAGGAAGGCCAGTTGACCATGACCACTGGATGCTCTGTACCCAGAAAAAGCAAGCTCCCAATGTGTCAAGGAATATGGGGGTTGTTGGTGATGTATTCCTTCTGCAGCATTGATTAAATACATACTTTGGGCTGTGTGTACCATTATATAACTTTAATTCTTTCCCATTAGGTTACATGGGAAAAACAGAGTGGTAGTTGTTTTTTCAACAATTATAATAAATGCCTATTATAATGAGACATAAGGAAAACATACCTGGAACATTTACTTGGAATATATTTGGACTGTGATTATTGATCAGATCTGTAATTTTCATGACTAAACATATTCCTAGGCTGTGAAAGGAAAAATGGCTGTGTCAGTGGATTCAAGAAAATTTCGTTTGATTACTCTTCTCAATAATGAACATATTAGAGTGTTGCAGTTTGGGAACAGGTTTTCTGCATTCTACAAATTGGCATCTACCTTGCTCAAAAAAGGAGTCTTAGAGTTGAGTTGGGAGCCCATCTTGTTATGGATGGGATTCAGGACTTAAAGATGCTGAAGTCAGAAAGTCCCAGCAACATCTGTGTTGCTGGTAAGTTCTCCCAGTCTGTGAGATGGTCACCACCAAGTCGGAGCACACCGCTTGAGGCATCCCATGGAAATCCAGGGGTGTCCCCTGGGGGTGAGGAGACCCTCCCCTCTGTTCTAATGGAGACCGGGGCTGGCCCCGTGTCCCAATGTCTACAACCACTTAGTAACTCCCTAGATAATTAGTAACTATTCCTCTAAGATCACAAAACTGGGTTAGCAGATGACAGTGCCTGACAAAGCTTATTTCCTTAATACGTAAACTCTTAAGCAAAGCGTTTTCACAGAAAAAGCAAGCTTCCAGCATTTATGTGTTGTTAAACAAAGACATAGCAGCACATTGATAACAGATACATTTTACCTTAAATCCGTAAGTGCTGCCTCTGGTCGCTCACGTAAATATTGTGAGCTTCTTTGTGCACCATGAACAATCACCAAGGTGAAGCTGATCGGTTTGGTTTGTCTCAAATCAAGGTGTAGAGATGAGACTCAGTAAATAGTTTCCAAAGAAAGAAGGGGAAAAGTTAGATTTGTTCTTAGGTTTATATATTGTCCTGATCTAAAGTTCGTTTTTATTTTCAAGCAGACTTTTGCTTTAGAACATCATCTTTAATACATACTCATATTGGTGGGCAAATAAATCAGCTTAGTTATTATTCAAATCAGAATAAAAAGCAAAGCAACCCAGAAAGTCTCCTCTATCTTCCCTGGAGTTCAGCATCAAGCAGCCCTCCTTCTTACATAGCTCACAGAGAGTTGCAGCAGAAACCACTTCAGTTCCCAGAATGTTCCTTGACTTACGCGTCTCCATCTCCTTCACCGCGGCAGAGAGTACTGGCCCCCCTGGAAGATGGAGACAATGTCTTCAGATCTCTGCAGCCCTCATCCCAGGCCTACATGCTGTGATCCTTCAGGCTAGAGATTGGATGAGACCTGAAAATTTCAGCTGCAAATGAAAATAAGCTATCTGACCTATCCAGTCAGAATGTAGTCCCTATCCATTCTTCCAGCGAATTTTATGAGTGTGTAGTATGGTGTGTGTGTGTGTGTGTGTGTGTGTGTGTGTGTGTGTGTGTGTGTGTGTGTGTGTGTACCTGTTCAAGTATGCAGACACGGAGGGAGCAGGAAGCAGATGAGAAAGAAGGCTTTTGCGTTTTGATAGCTGGCATTGGACCCGCAACTGTCCTGTAATTTCTTCAGATCCCAGTTCTGTGGTTCTTTCTGTACGGACTCTCATCCACACACTCCATAAACTGATTGGGACAAACTATTCAATGCAGTCAGCTTTTTAGGAGGAAATTTCAAAGAACCAAGGAAATCCATGCATCCCTTTACTGTGGTTGTACATGTACATTAGCACATTGTCCAAACTTACCAACTCCCCTTTCACGTGCACAAACATCTTAGCCAGGCCTGTGAGCCTTCCGGGTTGTGTGATCATCCTGAGAAGGACCTTCCTCCCCAGCAAGTCTGTGTCCAGCCTCTAGCCTTCCTACTTAGGATGCTGTGCCTGGCCTCAGTTGCTCTGACTCATCAGTTATGTTCCCTTGTTCTCTTCTGTGTTGTGGCTGACCCCTGAATGCAGAGAGGCGTTCACGAAATTCGCGAGATCAGACAGTTCCACTTCACTGGCTGGCCCGATCACGGGGTCCCCTACCATGCCACTGGCCTGCTGGGGTTTGTCCGGCAGGTCAAATCCAAGAGTCCGCCCAATGCTGGCCCTCTGGTGGTACACTGCAGGTAAGCAGAGCTCCCAGCCTTGCACCCTGATGCATAGGGATGGGGTTTCCTGGAGGGAAGGGGGCAGTTGATGAAAACAATGCTGAATGTACTCTTTGCTTGATGTATGTACACTCTAGAAGGGACCTGTTTATGGCATGTGGTTTTCACCTTGGTAAACATGCAGAAAGGAAGTAGCAGCTGCTGCACACTGGCCCTTTCTCCTCGACTCACAGAACCCTCTTTTTGCACAGTGCCGGTGCGGGGAGGACTGGCTGTTTCATTGTCATCGACATCATGTTGGACATGGCTGAGAGGGAAGGAGTGGTGGACATCTACAACTGCGTGCGGGAGCTGCGGTCACGGAGAGTGAACATGGTGCAAACAGAGGTAGTATAGCCCTCCATACACTCTAGGGCCTCGAACCCGTCTTCATCCCCACCTCCTGGATCCACGGTCAGAAGAAATCTCACCCGCTAGCTCTGCAAAGCTCTCACAAGACACAGCGACATGCCTGCCTCCTTCCTGCTTTGTGTCTATCCTTCCGTGAACAAGACAAACAGGAGTGTGCCAAGTGATGGTGTCTGTAGTCCCGAGCCTCCGTCTGTGTAATTTCCTGTGTCAAGGGACCCAGTAGAGTCTATGCATTTCACATTCTAGGTTTAAAGACTATTTTCTCACCTGCCCCTCTATCTTAAACTAGCTGGGAACCAGAGCAAGACCACTCCTGAGAATTGCCGGGCATTTGCCAAGTGGCTTGAGGGTACCTCTGAATGTTTTATTCATCTCCAGGGGAACTAGGAAGCACGGCAGGCTGCTGCCCCTAAAAATGCTGCCAGTGACTCACTGTCTTAGGGATTGGCCCACTTGGTACAAGTGCTCAGCTGCCCACCAGTCATGCTATCCATGTAACTTGAGCCATGTTGAGAATTTAAATTACCAAAAAGTTTTACATCTTGCCCCTTGGACATCCATATATTTTTTGCTGATATTTGGTAGGCTTAAGTAAGCACTACAACACACTACCTAGAAAATGATTGCTGAAATAGACTGAAGAATAAATAAGAATGCCCTACATTTGCATTGCACATTCAAGTTGACAAAAGCCACTATGAAACATGATTCTTTTTTTTTTTTTTTAGCTACAATAAAAATAATGGAGCTGTGAATGCCACTTCAGGGTCTCTTTCTTTTTTAAGAATAGAGAATGTTTTGTTTCAAAGGTAATGCAGTATTGTGGGATGAGGAGGGAGGCGAGGAGAGACAGAGAAGGAAAGACAGAGACAGAGATGCACACGTACAGGAAGGCTCCTGTTTGGTTTGCTGATTCACTCCAGTGCCCTCAGTGACAAGGACTGGACCCGACCACAGTTGGGAGCTGGGAGTTCAGTCTGGGTCTCCCTCTTGCGGTGTAGGGATCCAATCCCGTGAGTGTTCATCTGTGGCCTCCAGAGTGTGCCTTGAGGAAGATGGAGTTTGGAGGTGAAGCAGGGAGTCCACCCCAAACACTGCGACATAGAACGTGTGTGTCTGAAGAGCTAGGCTACATGCCTGCTCCTTGTTTATTTTTTTTTAATATCCATTATTGCCGACCAAATGTTGCCACGCCCAGTTTCTCATTTGCTTTCATCTTTAGAAGCGTATGTTTTAGCAGAAGTGAGTTGTGTTTGATAATCTACTCATATGTAGAAGTTAAATAAACAGCAGTGGGCATTGGGATGCTGTTTGGATATTCCCACCCCACATCAGAGCGTAGGTTCCAATCCTAGCTCCACTCCCAATTCCTACCTCTGCTGATGCAAACCCCAGGAAGTAGCAGCAATAGGTACTCAGCTACTTAGGTCTCGGCCTCCTATGCAGTAGACCTTAGTTTGGGGACTGAACCAGCAAATGGGTTGTCTCTCCTTCCCTCTCAAAAATGTAAATGAAAATGTTGAACGATAGTGACATTAATAAGGGACATTTTAAATATTTCATGTGGGGTCAACATTGTGGCATAGCCAGCAAAGCCACTGTCTGTGGTGCCAGCATCCCATTCGGGTACCATTTCACATCTTGGCTGTTACACTTCCAAGCCGGCTAGCTCCCTGCTCATGTTTCTAGGAAAAGCAGCAAAAGATGTCCCAAGTACTTGGGCCTCTACATCTCTGTGGGAGACCCGAATGAGCCAGGCTCCTGGTTTCAACCTAATCCGGCTGTGTCCCTTGGGGGAGTGACCCAGCAGATGGAAGCTCTATGTGTCTCTTTCTGTAGCTCTTACCTTGAAATAAATAAATATATATATTTAAATATCTCATATAGAGATCAATAATAACTATAGTAAAACTTGCATGGTTACATGTGTGGCAAGCCCATGTCTGGTTGGGATTGGAGGAGCCATTTGTAATGGTGGGTTCACTGTACACACATATGTTAACTCTCCTCTGTGTCCCTGGGTCCAATCCCCAATTATCACACTCACCAATGCTCTGAAATAAATAGTTCCAATTATTCAGATCTGTTTGTCTTCCTGAGGATGTTAAGTCTGCATGGACCTGCTTTGCACTACTCATTGGGCTAGCAAACCTTTTAGTAGTGGTAGATAAAATTCTGCTGCTTTCTCATTGGAAGTAGCATTAAGCTCAGACTCACAGAGGTGTGTTAGCCAGCTATAGTATTCCAGCACTTGTTCTGCTTTGTTTCGGTGTCTGTTCGGTTTTAGATCCACCTGCAGTTCAAACAGATGCCATTTTGTCTCTTCCTCTCTTTATGCTGCTACTCATAACCAGCTAACTCACTGGCCGTACTCACAGCTGGTCAGCCAACACACAGGCCGTACTCACAGTCGGTGAGCTAACACACTGGTTGTCCAACACGAGGAACAGGGTGACTGACGCTGGAGAGCATCACCTCGCGCCAGTCTCGCATCATTCCATCTCACATCCGTTCAGTGCTTCAGTCTTGGAGGATGCACTGTCCCCATTATCTCGGCAATGGCTAATACTGATCCCGTGTTCCCTCCTCCATCTCGCAGGGCCAGTGTGGCTCTCTGGCACTAACTCAGTCCCTCTCTTCTCCAGGAGCAGTACGTGTTCATCCATGACGCCATCCTGGAAGCCTGTCTTTGTGGAGACACATCTGTCCCTGCCTCCCAAGTCAGGTCTCTCTACTATGACATGAACAAACTGGATCCACAGACAAATTCAAGCCAGATCAAAGAGGAGTTCCGGGTAAGTTATGCTACAGGGAAAGCATAACTAGCTGTCACTTGCTCCTTCAGAAATATCTCAGGTGTGAGCACTGTGGCTTGAGACACCAGCATCCCATATGGAGTGCCCTGGGCCTCTGCCTGTGGCCCCTATGCAGAAAGGGCACTGTCTGTGAACAAAAATGCAGACAAGAGAAGTAAAAATCTAACTCCAGGAGCAGGCACCATGACACAGCAGATGATGCTGCTGTTTACCAGCATCCCTTAATGACACTTCCTTTGTTTGAGTCACCGCTACTCTGCTTTTGATCCAGCTTCCTGCTGATTCTCCTGGGAAAGTAGTAGAATGTGGCCTAATCCCCGGTTCCTGGGGAGACCCAGATGGAATCCCTAGCTCCTGGCCTCAGCTTGGCCTCAAATTGACCATTGCATCCATATGGACAGTGAACCAGTAGGTGGGATATCCCCTCTTGTTCTTTACCCTCTAGTCACTCTGCATGTTTTAATGAACTGTTAAAAACACATCTGACTGCAGGGAGCTACTGGGGGAAGGGACCATGTTGCCAGCAGCTGCGTGAGAAGTCAGCATTTGGCTCACTGAAGGGGATACCTGCCTCCCTTATCTGACTGCCTGGAGTGAAGTCTCAGCTCCACTCCCAGTCCCAACTTCCTGATGGTGCATACCCTAGGAGGCAGCAAGTGATAACTCAGGTCCCTGCCAGGCATGTGGCACCCCGATGGATGAGCCTCGCTTCTGATTCTGCCCCATTCCAGTAATTGCAGACATTTAGAGCGTGAGCCAGGGGATGGAGGGTTTTCCTCTTTTCCTTCTCTGCTTTTCAATTAAAAATGAAAAGAAATCATTTTGAAAAGAAATACATTCTGAAGGCAAGACAAATGTATAGCCAGGCCACTCGTTTCCGCGACTGCCTGTCTTACTGTCTCTTTTAATTGTGTTGTATTTAATGTGAAACGGGAGTTAGCCCCTGCCCTTTTCTCAGTTTTGGCTCTCTGCAGTTTTAGTTTCCTCTGGTCAACTGTAATGTGAAATAACAAAAACTGGAAACAGACTGGTCACGTGATGTGAATTCGTTTCTCCCAGGGAAGCAGATCACCCACCGTGTTTCCCTGTTGTTTTCATTTTGTGGGTTTCAGTCTTTTTTGAAGTCATCCTCCAGGTCGGTTTCCTCCTCTCCTCCCTGTTCCTCATCACCACCTTTAGTGAAGGTGAAGTAGAACGTGGCGCTTGGGGTTACATGTTCATATCCTAAAATGCGACCAGTTTCCAAGTGCGCAGCGAGGCTAGACTCGACAGCATCATCTCACTTCTCACTGGAGGTACCAACAATATTTAAGGATCGTACGAAACTGTCACAGCTCGAACTGCTCCAGGTCCCTGGTGTTTCTGCTCACACTTAATGGGTTTCAAGGTGACATTCTTTGCTCGTTTTCAAACTACCTGGCATGCCTACAGCCTGGCATCTCAATACGAAGAGGGCTCTGAATTGCCTGGTTTTAGGAAAGCATCCCTGCACTTGCGGGGAGATTGTGCGACACGGCTCACAGAACCTTGATCCTGTCCGGGGACTGCAGGACCACTCCCTGGACAGGGCAATGTTTTCACACACTGCCGACTAAATTCCGAGCAGCTTCGGGTCTTCTTTTTCTTCTTCCTTTTTCTCATCTTCGTCCCTGGCCTTTTCCTTCACCTCCTCCCAAATGCCACCCTCCTCAGCTGATTTCCATTCGGATGCTTCATCCGTAGGTTCATCAATTGCGCAAGTGAGTTCAGATCATTTATCAAATGGAGGCTAATAAAAAACAGTATACTTCCTTTCAAGATCATAAAATCCCTCATAGAATTTGGCTTCTGCCTGTGCATTTAACTGGAAGGTTTTTGAGAGCATTCTCTTCATCTTTTAATGACCCGAGGCAAGCTTTCAGCGCATCCTGTCGGTTTTTCTAGCAGACTATCAAGTCTCTCTTGAGGATCAAGAAGCTAAGGATTTTTGCTTCCTCTGAACAGCCAGCTGGCCCCTTTGGTGTTTGTTTATTCGCTTGTCTCTTTTTTTTCAACATCCTCCAAATCTTGTCACTTATGCCTCCTTTCTGTCTTGCAGACCCTAAACATGGTGACACCGACGCTGCGTGTGGAAGACTGCAGCATCGCACTGCTGCCCCGGAACCACGAGAAGAACCGCTGCATGGACATCCTGCCCCCGGACCGCTGCCTGCCCTTCCTCATCACCATCGACGGGGAGAGCAGCAACTACATCAACGCCGCCCTCATGGATGTAAGCTGCTCCCGAGGAGCCGCTGGGAAGGGCGGGGTGGCAGGGGCACGCACCCGCTGCTCAGCCATCGCCTGCTAAGGGCTACTTTAGCAAGTTCATGAAAGTAGAATTAAAGGGCATATTTGTTTCAGTGCAGATTTTGATGTCCATGCATATTAGGAGGGTCTTTACACATTTATGGAGGGCCTTGGCGGATTAAGCTGTTCCCCGGAAGGCCAGCATCCCACATAAGAGCAGGTTCAAGTCCCAGCTATTCCACATTGATTCCAACTCCTTATGAACACACCTAGAAGGTCAGCAGATGACTCCATTTTGGACCCTGCACCTAGACCAGCACTAGCTGCTATAGCCATTTGACAGGTACACTAGCAGATGGAAAATCTCTCCCTCCCTCTCTGTAATTCTGCCTTTCAAATAAATCTTTGGAAAAAAAAAAACATCATGGAAATGCATATGGTGACAGACTATGCATGGGTTTCAAAATGTTTTGCACAAAAATAAAATCATCCTGCAATTCCATTTGCCATGAATGTTTTCGAAATATATAATTCATTAATTTTTTTAAAAAGCGAGCACTGTATTTGAGATCCCATGTGGTTTGGTGCCAGGTTGAACCCTCTTGGTCTCTCAGAGATTCTCATTTGGGAAGTCTTGGTCCATGAAACATGCCATTATTATTCTCAGCACCAAAGCTTTAAGCCCATTGTCGGAGAGCACGTGACAGCGCTAGAGTCACGAAGATATGGGACAGACTTATTGCAGAATTATTTAAATTCCTTTTCTTCCTCATTTAGGCAGTTACTAACCTGGAAAAAACATAACTCGCTGTTTTCTGTCAGTCTGCTTATCTCTTCTTATTCAGTTGATTAGAAAAAAGTAAATGAATACTTTCCGTCCTAATATGGAAGTTTTAGTTCTGTTTGTATGATTTCCTAGAGCACTGTGGGAAGCCCTGCAGAGCAGGCAAGGTGGATAAGTATCATTTGGCAGGAGTTAGTACCTGTCCTGCTTAAAAATGACAATCAAGCAAGTTTCAGGAAATAGCAGCTACTTTAATTATGCCTGATTTTAAGGTAAGGTAAAGATTAAAATAATTATATAAACTTCATATTGCCTTTCTATCAGAAATTTAAAAAAAATAGTAAGAGTGCATACTAAGTTCTCTTGGTTTCAAAGCAAACACTGACTCTCATAGTTATTCTGCCGATAGGTTAATCAGTCTATGTTGGTGTTGATAATGGTAGTAGAATTTAGCCGTTGTTAACTATGCCCAATGTTTTGTGCTATACACTTCTAGTGCACAGTGTAACTGAGTTTCCTCTCTTCACGTTTTCCTGAATGTGTTTGGCTTTTTCTTGCTTGTGTTTGCAGAGCTACAAACAACCTTCGGCCTTTATAGTCACCCAGCATCCTTTGCCAAACACAGTCAAAGACTTCTGGAGACTGGCCCTGGATTATCACTGCACGTCGGTAGTTATGCTGAACGATGTGGATCCTGCCCAGGTGAGACCGGGGAATTCCTGCAGGCAGAGCTCCTGTGCCAGGGTCCAGGCCTTGGGTGCTTTCTTCACATCCTCAGACTTGCAGGCCCAGAGCTCAGTCACCATTTCCACATGAAGAGTGAGAACCAGGGATGCTGAAAAACAAGTATTAAAAATTGGGGGGGATTAGGGGCTAGTATAGCAAGTCAGGGCAAACCGAACAGATAAACTGCAGCTGTGGGTGGTGGAAGTGCCAACAGAGGGTCGTAAATGGAGCTGTCCACTAGGTGGACGAATCCATGGTCATTGACAAAAAAGTCACAGCTGAACAGGAGCCTGAACACCACAGATCCAAGAGCAGAGCGTACAAACCCACGGACAGGAAAAAGGGAGTTAGCCGTGGCTGCAGCCCGGGATCCTGTCCCTCCAGGGAAGGGGGTCTGTGCATCCTGCCGGCTTCCCTGGAGCCTGCACATGGAGTGCATCTGCATCATGCTAGGGGAGGTTGAGAAGGCAAGCGAGTTTAAAGGAAAGCAGTTGATTTTGTCAGCTCCTAGGTGGAGGTGTTAAGAAGGGATAAAAAGGGGACTTGGAGATAAAAGAAGCTGAGGGTGCTAAATGGGGCTTTTGTGTAGCTCTGCTGGAACAGCGAAAGAGAAGCAAGAGGATATAAATGATCTGGCACTAGTCATGGGAGTACGGGGCCTACCAAGTAAACATCAGCGGTGTCCTCTGTGAGCTGAAGTTAGTCTCATCACAGCCGCAGAGGGCATTATGGGAAGCTTGCGCTCCGTGTGCTTTCAGAATGAGCTTGCTGCAGAATGGAGTTAATGCCCTTTCTGGAAAAGACCAATTCTTTTTTTTTTTTTAAGATTTATTTATTTATTGGAAAGTCAGATATACAGAGAGGAGGAGAGACAGAGTGGAAGATCTTCCGTCCGATGATTCACTTCCCAAGTGAGCGCAACGGCCGATGGATGCTATGCCGATCCGAAGCCAGGATCCAGGAGCTTCTTCTGGGTCTCCCACACAGGAGAAGGGTCCCAAGGCTTTGGGCTGTCCTTGACTGCTTTACCAGGCCACAAGCAGGGAGTTGGATGGGAAGTGTAGCTGCCAGGATTAGAACCGGCGCCCATATGGGATCACAGGGCGTTCAAGGCGAGGACTTTAGTCGCTAGGCCATGCTGCCGGGCCCAAAGAGACCAATTCTTAAACAACAACAACAACAAAAGATCCAGAGAATTTCAGCATCCCTGCTAGACAAATGTTTCCTTCCAAAAATCCAGGTTGCTGCCAACCATCTCCCGCAAATGACAAGGACCTTAATTCAGTTCTGTATGGTTGTTCTTATGTTGGAGCCACTGTGTGATAGCTAGTTAATGAAATAACAGTGGTAACCTTGACTTTCTTCTGGTCCTCTTGGCTTAAGCAGCTTAAAAATTTTACACTTCCTCCCCACCAACCCGTTTCGAAGGCTGTACTGCAGCCATTTGGGGCGGTAGCAAGCCCTGCCCCTCAGGCCAGTCCAGAGCCCTGCTCAAAATAGAACTCAAGACTCCGAGTTTCTAACTGCCGGCGCCATGAGCTAAACCCCATTCATTTGAGATTCCTTAGCCACAGAGAGTTCCGAATAAGGAACTTGTTCCCAGTTACAGCCTTTCTTCCTACCATGAATACTGAAATGCAGTGGTAGACTGTTTTAATTCCAGTGTGTACTTTTGGAACAAGAGCATTTCGATTCTAAAGTTGCATCCTTAACCCAAGTGATCTGGACTCCCACCAAGTTTTGGCTGACTGGCGGTAGGAGAGACAAAAAGGTTGCAGTTCTATTGCATAAACGCTGCCAAGGTTCAGCGTGAGAGAAGGGAGGCTCCCAGGAGTCAACCACTTAGCAAACACTAATGCGAGCATTTGAACTTGAAGGTTTTGTAACTGTACAAGGCTAGCACTCAGCTATTTTAAGTATTTATAGGTCTGGTTCATGGACGTGTTATGCACCATTTAAGCCATTTTCTACACGGTTTCCTTGGGCAGACTGTAGCATGTGGTATGCCAAGAGCCAGGCGCCAGCTCAGGCCATTCATACTTCTTTGTTATAAGTGACAAGTTCTTGATCAGGCACTTGAACTAACAGCAAACAGAAAACAAAACTGAATCAGCCGGGAGAAAAATGGGCACAATGGTTCCAAGGTACATGGTGTGATTTTTACTGCCATCTCAGTTTCCCATCATGGTGCCTTTTTATTTTTAACAGTGGCTACCCACAGGTTCCAGAAAGAAAATAAACATCAACTTGGTGTCATTTCCAAGGCCGATTAATATCTTGCCACCAAGGAGTGCTGTTGAGGAAAGGAAACTTTGGTAAAAGCATTGTTTTAAAATAAATTAATGTGATGTTGAAAATACCACAGGCAAGGCTGACATAAAACCTTCCTTAGTCATTGTGTTTTTCATTCTTCACCATCAAGTTCAAACCTTTAGCTTCTTTAGATTGGATAGAGGGATGGCTATTTTGGTTGACTCACCATTCACTGAAAGCTTGCCTTGCAATCTGAGATATAAATCAACCTCTGCGACCTTTGACAATGAGATTTTGAGATCCTTTGGAAAATAAAAGCCTTCAAACGAGAAGAAATTCAACCATTGGGTTCTCCTTTTGTGATAACCTCATTTTGCTCCAAATGAGGTGATATGTTTTTCATCCACTCTTGGCCCAATAGAAACAGGTTATAAAATAATGAATTGTACCCCTTTCATTTCACCATATGCCATCAGTCTCTCGGCTAAATCAAAAAGGCGAAAGTTAAACCATACTCAAAAAAAAAAAATCACTCAACAAAGTTGCAAAGGAAGTTTAATTTCAAACTTGAAATGCCTATTAAAATTTCAGATATTTAAGGACAGGTTTTGAAAACAAATTCTTAGAAGTTAGTCATACCCACTTGTCTCCAAGTTTAGGTATTTTACAAGCTGGTGGCAAATGCAGTGCCGCTCCTGCCTCTCCAATGTGTGTGCTAACATTTGGGCAAAAGTGTGGGTACCTGGGCCCGGCACGGTGGCGCAAGTGGTTAAAGGTCCTCGCCTTGCACGCCCGGGATCCCATATGGGCGCCGGTTCTAATCCCGGCAGCCCCGCTTCCCTTCCAGCTCCCTGCCTGTGGCCTGGGAAAGCAGTCGAGGATGGCCCAAAGCCTTGGGACCCTGTACCCGCGTGGGAGACCCAGAAGAGGCTCCTGGCTTCGGATCGGCATAGTATCGGCCCGTTGTGCTCACTTGGGGAGAGAATCATCGGACGGAAGATCTTCCTCTCTGTCTCTCCTCTCTGTATATCCGCCTTTCCAATGAAAAAATAATAAAAATAAATCTTTAAAAAAAAAAAGTGTGGGTACCTGGTGTCGCCAATACCTTCAGCTTGAGACTCTAAGGAATTAAAATTTTAATTATATAAAGCTACTTCCAGGTAAAACAGCAAATCATTTACTGTTTTATGTGGACTTTCCTGGACCCATGCTAGTAGGGTTTGGACGAGCATGAAAATGTAACCCATCACTGTTACCAATCTTCAGGATTGTCCCAAAGTGGCCTGATTCCCAGAAATGATTACAACTTGCCATGCAGGGCCAGCTAGGGGAGGGTGCCTGTCCACAGATGTGTGTGCCAGTGGAAATACCTTCCCTGTCTCTCCAAAACCTGCTAAGGATTCCTTTCCCCACTCAAAATAGAATTTTTAAAGGGAAGTGCTAAGTGTCTTCCTGAAGTCTGCACTGGTTTGTAGCTAAAAGATGCTTTTTTGGGCCTGGCATAATAGCCTAGTAGCTAAAGTCCGCACCTTGCAAACACCAGGATACCGTATGGCACTGGTTCTAATCCGGCAGCTACACTTCCCATTCAGCCCCCTGCTTGTGGCCTGGGAAAGCAGTGGAGGGTGGCCCAAACCCTTGGGACCCTGCACCCATATGGGAGATCCAGAAGAAGCTCCTGGCTCCCGGCTTCAGTTCTGGCTGTAGCAGCTGCCCGGAGAGTGAACCAGCCTACGGAAGAGCTTTCTCTCTGTATCTCCTTCTCTCTGTAGCTCTGACTTTCCAACAAAAATAAATAAGTATTTATTTTTTTTAAAAAAAAAAGATACTTTTTGAGAGCAATGAAGTAAAAGAAGGCCCAGGAGAAGGATAGGTGGAGCTAAGATAGCTTACAGGAAAGTTGTAAAGTCTGCTCATTGGAAGGAAAGAAATTGAAAGGAGTTTGTAGGGGTTACAAAATACAGTGCTGACGTCCATCTAAATTGTAAGGACAAAATTCATGCTTATTGGTTTACTTTGTGTTTCTGTGTTTTGGATCCAGTTGTGTCCACAGTACTGGCCAGAAAATGGAGTCCACAGGCACGGCCCCATCCAGGTGGAATTCGTGTCTGCTGATCTGGAAGAGGACATCATCAGCAGGATATTCCGGATTTATAACGCAGCCAGGGTAAGAGGCAGGGCCGATAGCACCTGTCGCTGTGGCTTCACTCTTTTATCATCCATTGAAATGGAGGGTCCCCACTCCAGATCAGTCACCACTCTTGGGGTCTGGAATGTTCTCTCCCTCTCCAGAGAACTCCATCAGTGGAATGGACAGTAAGTGCGTTGTGCAAGGCCATGGGTATAACCAGGAATCTGGGGAAGGGTCTCTGCATGGAGACAGGATCTAAGGTTCAACTGTGGACATGTTGGCTTGTGATGACTGCTAGACCCCCAAATGAAAACATCAGATGGGTGAGGGTGAGGTACAAGCAAGCTCTGGAAGACATCTGTAACTTTCTCAAATGCTGGCAGTGCTCCAAACCACAGCGGAATGAAGTCATCCAGTGACAGAAAGGAGACAGGAACCCGGAGTGTGTGCTAGAGGGTTTCCGTCAGCAAGACAGCTGGACAACAGGGTGGGGAAGGCAGAGGAGAGGCTGGGAAAGGAGCAGCCAGTGCAGCGAGCCAGTTGGTAAAGAGAGTGAGAACCTGTGACCACTCAGTCCAAGTGACTCAGTCATGGCCAAATTCAAGCCGTTGTCAGGCTCCTAACGTGAGCTGGGTACCACTTTGAATCCTGCAGTTCTGTGTAGTCCTTCCTGACTTAAGAGTAAGTGGCTGTTGGTAATCAAAAGCCTGTCAGATGCACAGGGAAGCAGGGTATCGCTCTGCCCCCGCAGAACCCGCAAACATCTCTGGATTAGCATCCTTTACTCTTAATTCTCCTGTGATGAAAGTGAAGCCAGTTTCCCACTGAAGGCACAAAGGCAGTGCCGTCCTGTGTGTTCTCTCTCACTTGGTTTCTGCCAAATAGGACAGTCCCCATGGCTCTGATCTGGCCTGTCCTTCCAAGTGTGTTGTAGTAGCTCAGGCTGCTGGAGGAGCCACCTACAGTATTGGTAACAAGGGCTGCCCTTGCTGAGACGATGAAGTCTGTGAAGTTGAATACCACCTGTTTCCTCTCCACTCCACAGCCCCAAGATGGATACCGGATGGTGCAGCAGTTCCAGTTCCTGGGCTGGCCGATGTACAGGGATACGCCCGTGTCCAAGCGCTCCTTCCTGAAGCTCATCCGCCAAGTGGACAAGTGGCAGGAGGAGTACAACGGTGGGGAAGGCCGCACAGTCGTGCACTGCTTGTAAGTGCCCCTTGGAGCAGCCGGGGCCCCACCATGCGCTCTCACCCTCCCACTCCCTGTTTTGTTTAAGTACTGCTGGAAGAGAACTAAGGTCTGGAGGAGAAGGGGACTGCCTGGTGGGTGCCTTTCAGAGGCTCAGTTGGTTTTCTAGGAAACAAAGTAGATACTTACAGTATCTGAGTGGCATCTTGCTTTGTTTTCTGTTGCTGTAATAGCAAGTAACTTGTAGAGAACAGTAGTTGACTGGCTCCTGGTTCTGGCAACTGGGAAATCCAAGGAGCATGGCACCAGCATCAGGTGAGGGCCTCAGACTTTGGCATCACCTGGTGCGGGGCATCCCATGGCAGGACTGAGCCAGCTGCCGGCCCAGGTATCCCTTCCCCTTACTTAACAAATCCAGCAATGTCATCATCTACCCTTAGTCGCCTCCCAAAGGCCCTGCCTCCGAATAATATCGACAAAGATGTTTGAGGGGTAAGTTTAAAACATATCAGTGTGCGGGAGCTCGTTACAGCAGGCAATGTTACTGTTAGGAAGATAAGCATTGGCCCCGGAGTTGGGACTGCCACCTGCCCAAAAAAGGGAAGAAAAGCCAGCTGGTGGGATGTGTTCATGTGGCTTACCTCTCTCTAGAGAGCCCACTGTTAACCGTCAGAAGTTTTCTGAGCTTACCTCTTTCTAGAGAGCCCACTGGTTATTTGAAGTCATCCCATTGCAAAAGTATTTGCCTGTGGAAATTGGCAAAAGCTACAAGTCCAGACTTCTTCCCACCTAGCCAAGGTGCACTGAGTACTCCATGATTCAGTGTTTCTATTGGGAATCATGCCAGAGGCTTTTAAGAAGCTGCGCCTCTGTGAGTTATGTGGGTGCATGTGTGGTTATTAGGACAGGTTCTCCCAGGAAATCCAGAGAGGGTTTGGTTAGAGCCAGTGGCTCCAGTGTGGCCTCCAGGCTGGCAGTTCCAGCAGGTGCTAGAACATGAGAGTCCTAGAGAGTTTAAAAAATAATAAAAACAACCCCTCTATAGGCCACACCCAACCCCTTCAATGTTTTGCTTTGTTTCCTTTTGAACTCCTGGATTATTTCCCTGGGCAGCCAAGGTTGAGAGCCGCTCAATAGAGAGTATCACGTTTTCCAAAGCACTCTCACCTGTTTTTTCTCATTGGCAACCATATGTAGCTCATCAGCCAGCTGGAATTGGCTTAATGGAATAGGCAATTAAAGTCATGGAAGCTAGGGAACGCATTCAGAGCCTTGGTGGAACTTGACAGTACAAAAGTATATCGCTGTTCGCTGTAGTGTAGTCAGAACCGCACGTCAGAAGCTTACTGGGGTTCTGCTCTCAGCCACCTGACCCAAGTCCTGTCACAGACCTGGCCAGGGGCACGGGTCAGTCTTTAGGGCTCCTGTAATGCTGCTCCCCCCCACATTTCTCTTGCCTCTTCTCAGAGTACATCATGGTAGCGTCTCCCAGTGTAGTAAAATGCACTTCCTTGGAGAAGGTCTTGTCCTCTGAAAGTCTGTTTACTGACCCTGCCCACTTCCTTGTCCTGGGCCCAGGGCATTCAAAGCCTCCTTGGGGAGGCGGTTGCATTTGGCCTACTGGAGCAGTGCCACAGTGGAAAGGCCAATTGGACACCCAGCATCAGGTCTCAACCCCAGTTTCCTGCTCAAGCCCATCGTGAGAGGCAGCAGTGACAGCTCAGGTACTTGGGTCCCTGCCACCTATGTCGAAGGTCTAGAGTTCCAGGCTTCTGCCTGGCTCAGCCTTGGCCATTGCATGTGGTAGGGGAAGTTAACCAGCACATGGGAGGCCTCTCAGCCTCTCAAATAAGGAAATAATAATGTTTTAATATCTGTGTAGAAAATGCTAAAAGGTTTGGTTAATAGTTCACACCCTCGTTTTTATTTCTCCAAGTCATAATACAAAGTGTCTTCAGAACAGTCATGGAAAAGAGGCATTATGGAAAAGCTATGCATGGATTTCAAAACTATTTCACCCCCAAAATATACTTCCCTTTAATTCTGTTTTCCACAAGCTTTGTGAATTGCCCTTGTATAATATCTGCTCAGAGTAAGGTAGCAGTTTCCATATCCAGACTTGATAAAAACACAGCTGGGGAAAATGGCATTCTCCATGTGTATTCAACCTGCAGGGTGGGATTTTTTTTTTAATTAAGAAAAATAAATTGCTAAAGAGCGTTGGCAGGTGTATCTGCCTGTGTCTGGAGAGCCCAGCGTCTTGAACTAAGGCATGCCTTCACCAGTTTCTCATGAGGGCCGAGGCTTCAGCCCACCAAGGGAGTTGGGGCACCAGGACAGGGAAGATGCAAAGACCGCCCCCACCCAAATCACTGTCCCTCGTGTCCACACTCCTCCTCCTCCCGTGAACACTGCCATGGCTGGTCCAAGTGGCATCCCGTGGTGGCCTCTCTTCAGCCTTGCCAGACCAGGTGGGCATTTGTGCTTTCTGCCCTCTGCCTGCCACATCCTGGCCCTTTGAAAGCCTCTGTGGTTCTCCCCTCCCACCTCAAGGTGAGCATGATACCCAGGCCTGATGAAAATGTTGGTTTCTGTTGAGATTTGTAGAGCTAAGTTGTTTTTTTTTTTTTTTTAAGTTATAGGCGATGTAATAAGTAATGTTAATATAAACAGGCACGCTCCAGGCTTGGCCAGAACTAGAGGCTTTGAAATCACTCTATTCCTCCTCTCTGAAGCAACAGCCTTGCATGCAGTAGGATGTAGCACCACCTAACGGCTGTGGGCAGATTTCCTGCCTGAAACAAACCCACAGGTGCTGGGGGTGTGTATGTTCCTTGAGCCCCAGACATTCGGTGTGTGCAAATGAAGAGATTTTTTATATACATTGTCTCCTGTCCATCCAAAGCTGAATAAATGAATAGGATGAACATGCCACTGTTTGGAAATGCTTGCTGGAAACAGCAGCTGTAGACAGCAAGCGACAAAAGCTGCTGCTGGCTGATGGAGAGTTACTTCAAGATGTTTGTGGAAATGGAACTAACAGATAAACGTTTGTCAGAATTTTGAAGTCTATGCACAGTTTTTATTTTTCTTTTCTTACAAAGATTGTTTATTTGGAAGACCCAGTTACAGAATATGGAGAGGGAAAAAACACTTCCATTTGCTGGTTTACTCTCCAAATGGCTACATCGGCTGGAGCTGGGTCAGGCCAAAGCCAGAAGCCAGGAGCTTCATCTGAGTCTCCCACGTGGGTTCAGGAGCCCAGATGCTCAGGCCATCCTCCGCACATTAGCAGTGAGCTGGATTGGAAGTAGAGCATCCAGGACTCAAACCGGTGTCCATATAGGATGCCAATGCTATAGGTGGTGGCTTCATGTGCTGTGCCACAGCACTGGCCCCTAGGGTTTTCATAACACATAACTAATAAGACTAATAATCACATGAGAATGGCCAGGGAAGGAGCCCCATCAAAGGGTCACTGATTGCAGGACCCACCTGCGTGGGTAGGTGGGGGCCCCTCCGTTCAGCCCTTTCCAGGTGAATCACAGCCAATGTGTGAAAATGAAAGAAGAAAACTCCTGGGAAAAAACATGGAAAATCTTCACAGTGACGAGGGAATCAGAAAGATTCATGGAGCCAGGACACAGAACACTAGCCTTGAAGACAAAGATTGGCCGACTGAATCTTAGTCAAAAGAAGCACCTCTCTTCATCCAAAGATGGTAATAAGAGGAAGAAAAGTTAAGACAGTGGGAGGAGAGCTTGTGCTGCATTTCTCTAATCATGTGACTGCAACAGGAACTGGACAGTTAAACCCAGTTTGTTCAGTGGACACAAATCTTGACAGGAGCTTTGTTTAAAGACAAGGTAGAAGGCTATCCAAATAGCCAATGACTGGATAGTCGTCATCTTTAGGAAACTACGTACTGAACCCAAGCTCCAGTGTGACCTCATCACCCATCAGAATAGCTGAGATTCTAAACACACAAATGACAGCAGCCAGTGTGGGTGATGCCTTAGATAAACTGGAACTCTCACACACAGTGACTTGGAAGCAGATGTTGTAGAGCTGAACTAGGTGACAGCGAGACTGCTAGGGCCAGACTCATCTGTAGTCTCCAGCTTTAAATGAGCCAAACAACACATGACATGCTTATGGCAGGTTTCCTCAAGATGCTGGATTCCGAAGACTGGAAACAGCTCAGACAATCAACAGCTCTTGGACCATGTATGTACTGTCAGAATAAACTGATCCAACAAGAAACATCAGTTCTCACACAGACTCAAAAAAGTGTGTAGTGAACAAGTCCGTTTGTACAAAGTTCAAAAGTAAACAAAAGAAACTCCTAGTAATAGAAGTAAAAATAGAGATTGTCTTTGGTGGCTCTGGTGATACTAGTGAGGAGCAAGGCTGGGAGGCCTGGGAACACTGACCAAGGCCTCTCCCTGGCCTGTAGCAACACCAGGTGCTGGTAACATGCCATGGTGAAAGATCACCGAGTTACTGGCTTACCATCCATCCATGGGCTACACCGGACACCTGATGTTTAGTGTGAAAATCATAAACAAGAAACAACCAGATACTTTGTGCTGCCTCTTCAGGAATACCCTGGTAAATAAATCCAGAATTCTTATTGGGGTGTGGAGCTAACTATCAGTTTGCAGGATGCGCATGGGTAGAGAGCAGCAGGTTAGACAATGGCGTCACGATATGATGAGTGAGAAAAACACAGAATGTGGGGCTCTCTGCAGGACCGGGGGACCTATTTCCTCCACAAGTAAGTTCCGGAAGGGAAAAGAAAAGCCAAAGAGCAAAGAGGAACTTATGGATTAAAATAAAACTTTAAATGCATTGTGTGAACTTTGCTCAGAAGAACGTTTTTGAAAATCAACAAGAAACCATTTGGGAAATTGGACGGACTAGCAGTTGGATTAGAAGAAACCAGCAATGCTTCTTTATTTTAGATGTGACAGTGATTTTGTGTTTGCTTTTTAAAACAAAGGAAATTACTGTTGGTTCCTTAGAGAAGGCATCAGTGCTATAGCTGACTCCGGGAAAATACCTACCTGCAAAAGTAAACCCCTGCTCCCAAAAAGGGACAGGCTTGTCCCAAGAACTATTGTTGGCCAGAGCTGGAAAAACTTGAGCTACAAGATAAATATTGATGCTGTTGAATTTTAGTTCACATAATTAAAATAGGTGTGGTTCCATCATAAGTTGTAAAAGTAAATAAGAAAAATAAACAGACATTTAATAGACATTTAGAAGGATGAGGAGAGGTAGAAAACCTCCCTTGAGTAAGCACTTTAGTCAGTGTTGATAGGATCCATGGTTGGGTGCAAAAAGCAGAAAACAATGGGAACAGCAGACCCTACACGCATCAGTTACAAAGAGAAGGGTAGTAACTTTGCAGAGAAAAAAATTCTAGTGAACCACATCTTAGTAAGTGAGCAAGGCGAACATCATCATAGGCAGACAGTGTGTCACGAGCCCCATGAGGGAGACACTTGGCTTTCCCATCAAACTACATGGCCTCGTTTCCAATCACAAGAGACCCCAAATGAAGACTCTGTGCCTTTCGGGGGTCTCTCAAGCTGGAGCTGGGGGCAATGTGGCTTCTAGGCCACATTCCACACTCCTTATCCTTTATAGCGTATAGAATAACTGGACCACACTCTGCAAAGTGTTTCTCAATAATCAGGAGGGCAAGCAAAGACTGAGGGACAGCACAGCTGGAAGAAGCTGCAGAGGCAGACAGCTCAGATCCAGCTGGAGCCCTGAGGCAGCTCCTAGACTGGGGCCCAGACAGCTGGTGGACCTTGACCTGGGGCTACAGCTCAGGACTGGTGTGCCAGCTAGAGTTTAATGGGACATTCTCCTCCAGCAAGCCTGGGATACAGGGAGCTCTTGAGGTTATTTCCTGCAATAGTTCTAAACATCTAACTGAGTTCAAAATTCTGTTTTCTTTCAAAAGAGCTTTTCTATTTTAGAGATAATGAAATACTGATAAGATTTTTTAAATGCCTGGTGTATCATTGAACCCGTTCGTCACCAGTTTCCCTGGCAGGCACTTGGTATGATGCTATTCAGATAGTCAGTCAGCCTTTCTTCTGTGGGTTCTTACTAGGGGTCGTAAGGGAGTGGACTCTAGAGCTGGGACAAAGCAGAGAAAGGTCTTTCCAGAGCTTGGCTAAGTTGCTCCCTTTCCTTTGGGGTGGGGACTCATTGTTCTGCCAAGGGTCCTGTGGGATGTGTGACATCATTGGCAGGTGACTTACAATCACCAACTGAACGATTAGCCTACTCTAATGTGTTACTGAATTCTGAGTCCTGCCTATGGATTACGCAGCCCCTGGACATCCCCCAATCCTGCAGAGAAATGCTGACTCAGGCGGGGAGTTCACCTGGCCACCAAGGCCTGTATCCTGAGTCCCCCAGAGCTTAGAACACACCATTGCCCAGATCACACATGAGCCAATCTTCTGATGTCCTCTGTCCCAGGAATGGCGGAGGTCGCAGCGGCACGTTCTGTGCCATCAGCATCGTCTGTGAGATGCTCCGGCACCAGAGGAGTGTGGACGTCTTCCATGCTGTGAAGACGCTGAGGAACAACAAACCCAACATGGTGGATCTCCTGGTAAGACCCCTGACCTGCCCTGTCCCAGTCCCGTCGGTGGGACCTCCCTGGTTCCCAGGCAGCCGTGTGGCTGCCAGCTCAGCGTGATGATGGTTTGCGGAGGAGGAGCCCCTCTCTGAAGCATGGGGTGATCGGCTTGCGTATCCGAATTTGCCGCCCCTGCTTTTCTCACCCTGCCTCTCTTCCCGTTTTCACACTGAGACTAGGTTGCACCTCCTTTGAAATGTGGAAATAGCTGAAACTCACAAGTGCACATCCTTATTAATTTCTCTTCCTGGCAGTGCCTTCCACATGGCTAAGCAGTTAGTCTTCACAGAGAAGAAGTAATCAGAACACGTGAACTGCCAGATTTTCAAATTATATATTTTATAAATAGCTTAATCGCCTAATATTTATCAAAGCTGCGAATTTGAGTTTGACATCCAGAATATTGCATTTAATTATGGTGGCCGTATCTGAGAGAAGCATGAAAGGAGTTGAGAAACAAAGGGCCATGTGCAATTATTAGAGGAGTTCGTGAAATCTCCTTTTATGTGGAGCTATGGAAACGCCAACGACTGCGAGTTGAGACTAGGAGAGCAGCTTAAAGGAAGAGACTTTTCCATAGGATTTTTTCCTTTCCGTGTGATCAGAGGAGGGATCTAAAGGAAGCAGTAATAGGACTGAGCCAAGGCTGTGGATGGCATGGGGCAGGGAAGAGGGAAGAAGAGATGGTCCAGGTGTACCAGGCCCAAAAGCAGCCTGGTCTGTGACACACCAGGGGCGGGGTTCAGATTTCTAATAAAATAAAGGGACTCAAGAAAGTTTAGAGTTGAGTTGAAATTGGGGAAGTGGCTGTCTATGGTCCCTACCTGCGACTGGAGGAGTCCCGGGCTGGGTATCGTAGTGAGCGATGACAGCCAGCTGCTGGGGCATCATGGTCAGGTCCCACTCAGCACAGCGTACTCTGCAGGGACCTGACCAAGTCAGTGGTGCAAATGATGGGACAAGAGCAGCCGTTTATGAAATGAATGGAGACCCTGGCGGCTGGACCGTAAGGAAGAGTGTACCTCCAGCCCCCGTTCTGCAGTAACTTATGAGTATCTGCCATTATATGTAATTTTTTAAAAGACTGTTTTACTTGAAAGGCAGACTAATAGATCTTCCATCTACTGGTTTATGCCACAAATGACTACAATGGACAAGGCTGGGCCAGACTGAATTCAGGAACTAAGAACCCATATGGATGGTAGGGGCTTAAGGACTTGGGCCATCTTTCACTGCCTTTCCAGGCACGTTGGCAGGACCTGGGTCAGAAGTGGAGTATTTCAGTACTGCAACTGGCATTCACATGGAATTCTGTGGTCGCAAGCAGCAATTTAACCTCTGCACCACAAAGCAAGCCCCAGTTACAGGTGATTCTAGTGGAAGAATTGGAGTCCTTAGATGCTAAGCCCTCCAATAGGATAGCATCAGCTTTAGGATATGGCCAGTGGCAAAGAAACATTAAGAAGGCTGTACAATTTTTTGAGAAATCTGTAACTATCCGATAGCCACAAAAGAAATGTCCTAATGATTTTTTCAGGAGGTTTGAAGCTTCTAGAACTGAATAGGAAGGAGCTCGTGTCGTTGGTTTGGTTTGTTGGGTACTTTCTGCCCTACGTCATTTTCTGTTTGGTTTGGTATTCAGACATATGTGTGTTGGCTGAGAGAATTAATTAACTTAGGGTGATAAAAATCTGGTATAGTTTTATTAGACAGAACAGGCCATCTGAGAACTGAGCACAGAATGTTGTCCTAGCAGCTGAATAGAATAATGAGCATGTTCCAGAACGCCCTGGTGGTGCTTCTGAGCTGGCCTGGAGTACGGGAGAGGAACCCCCTGCGTCTTCCCACACAGAGCCTGGCCCCTTCCATCTGAGACAGTGAAATAGCCCACTGCCTCCTCCCCTCCAGTGTAGGCTATGAGCTCAGAAACAGTACACATGTCCCTCACCCCACATGGCTCTGGTTTGTGATGTGGGCTTCTCAGTTGGCCAAGTCACCCATTCATGTAGAAGCCTGGTAGTGTCAAGGCAGAGCCACAAGATCCTGCCCATTTCTCTTCCCATTATTCTTCTGAGGGGAGCCCTGGAGAAAAGGTAGGGAAGTCACTGGGAGGCAAAAGCATTTAGAACACAACTTTGTTTTCAGTCCCAGCAGGGGCATCTGCACCTGTTCCTGACCCCTGTGTCAGCCCAACTTCTAAGCCAGGCATCTCTTCCCCAGCCTCCTGACCCATCCAAGACTTGGGTCCCTAAAGGGCAGGCTAGGAAGGCCCAGGCTGAGACTCCCCATTGCATGCCTCATTAGATTCTGATGCAGGCCCAGGATGGGTGTCTTTGAAGCCATCACAACAGCAGGAAGCTGCGGATCGCCACCATCAGTCTTCTCTCTCCTGTGTCTCTACACTTGACACTTGAATTTCTCTGAGCCCTGTTTTTCTAAAGAAACAGCTTTGGGGAAATGATCACACCTGGAGACATCACAGTAGGTCCTCCGAGAGGAGATGGAAGTGTTGGAAGATTCTTTCCCCCAACCTGAGCCCTGTGCCCATGGATGTGTATGGATGGACTCCTGGGCAGGCCTGGCTCAGCTGTGTCCTCAGGCATCACACTGGCACCTGTGAACGAAGCATCTGTTTTGAGCTCCATGTTGCCCAATGAGATTGACAGCCTCTTCCACCCAAGCGGAGAAGCCCAGGGCCCTTCCCAGGGTATCCGTCAGGGTGTGGAGACCAACCTTCTTGTGGTCCTCTGTGACTCTCAGGACTACCCCACTGGAAGTCAGGCCTTGTTCTTCACGCACCAGGCGATATTGCCACCAACACTGCATGCTTGAAACGTTGGCTTATGTAGGGCACTGCCTGTCACCATTATTCACCATGTCCTTCATCGCTGCTGTCTTCTGTCTTTTCCCTATGCTTGCTCCCTTCTCCCGCTCCTTCTTATCCCAGTGACCCCCATGATTAGTTCCCAAGCCCTTTCTCAGGAGCAAGACACGTTTCTGCTGAAAACACCTACCCTTGGGCATCCCAACTTCCCCCAAGGCCCACTGACACTGGTGTCTGCCCAAGTACGGCCCTTTGCTGTTTATGAGAAACGTGACTGGCTCTGCTAGGATAGTACCATGTTACCAATAGGGTCAGCCAGTGTCTTACCTGAGTTCTGTTCAATTCAGCACATATTTCTCAGCCCATTTTGCTGGGCATCATATTGGACAACACAAAATTTGTAAAAGACATGGTCTTCCTTCATGGACCTGGTAACTCTGTGGAGATGCCAAACCTGAGTCCTTTCCTAACCTCAGCTCTTCTCGTCTGTGAAATGGAGACAAAAATTCCTAAGCCAGACAGTAGGCTGCAGGATGCCCTGTGTGTGAAATATGCAGGTAAATCCACCGAGGTGGAAAGCAGAATCGTGGCTGCCAAGCACCTGTGGAATCGGAGTGACTGCTGGAAGGGTGGGGGTTTCTTTACAAAACAATGGAAACATTCTCGCTTAGAAAGGAGTATGACTATGAAGACCCCTGCACTGTGCCTGTACATTACATTGTGAAGGTTGCATTGGCTCTTATTGACCTGAGAATTCTACCAAGCAGAGTGGGGGTTCCTGTGAGATGAGCAGAGGAACCTGGTCCTGGAGGAGGAAAGGGGCTGGAAATGGGTCTTTCAACACCTCCCCCAGTTGGGGGTAGAGCACAGGGGACTTCCTTCCACTGCTGCAGGTACACAGACTGGCCATGGCAAGACTCCTGTTTTGTGACAGACTGGCTCATTTTAATGTTTGTTTGAATTCGTTTGCAGCTTGCCCGAGTGACCCTGTCTGGACTGGTCTAGTCAAGGCCCCAAGTGTCTGGCCTGGTCTAGTGAAGGAGCCTGCTTCAAGTCAAGAGATTCCTATACATTCTGTTTTAAAAGAGCAACCTTTTAAAGGATCTAGTTTATGATTTGTGAACGGCCATTTTTAAAAGCAATATCAAAATGATGATGGTGGTGGTGGTGGTTGCTATTGACCTTAGGTGTCTACAGGGCTCACCTTCTTACAGGACCTGTTCCCGTGAGTTATTTCCGGTACTGAGTCATCCACACAAAGGCAGGGGGCACCTGTGCCACACCTGCCCTACAGACAAGGAAACCAGCCCAGTGCAAGTGCAATCCAGACCAGACACTGATTCCCACCCCCAAGTCCATTGACTTTTGACTGCCCCAGACTGTTTTATCAGCTTACAGGCTGGACTCACAAAGTACTCCTGGGGACTTAGGGTCTTTTTTGCTTGGTTTTTTTTTTTTTTCTGGGAAGAAAAAGGAAGGAGGGAAAAATCAGCAACATACACAAAACAATTCAACCAAAATGCCAAATAGACTGTAGCCCAACATATAATCCGCAAACACGTGGTCCTCGAGGGACACGGCCAGTGGGAAAGGGACAGCTGTGACTCCTCCCTCGGTGGCTGTGTGGTTACTGAGTGGCCAGCACACCATTCCCAATTACCAGGAGAAATCCAGAGAAGGGCCGTTAACCCTCCTGACTGGGTGAGTGGGCAGGACCTGAGGACCCAAGCAGCACCCAGTCAGGATGCTAGCAAACTGAGTTTCAGACAGGCTTCCTAGAATGGGGGCCTCCTCAGGCCAAGAGAATGTACACCCTCCTTGGGGGATCTCATACCCCGCTCATGTGCAGTCTCAGGAAGCAATAAGAAAAGTTTGCTTCTCGGGCCATCCAGGGGCCCTGTTCCCAGGGACCTGCAGCCTGCCTTCAGAGAGTATTTGGTTGCTGTTTTTCCAAGTTTCTTTATTTTTAATGGATAACAATTGTCTATATTTATGAGACAGACAGTGACACCTGGTAGACCAATCAAATCAGAGTTATCAAGTCTTCATAAGCAACAACCTTGAAAACATAGTATGTAATGCAGACTGGCTGCCGACCCCACGCTGCACGTGAGTCAGAGAGCTTTCCAAATGGCCCTTGGTCAGGCTGTGCTTCAGATCAGTTATTCCTGCTGGGCCCAGGGACCAGTGCACCTGCTGGGCAGTGGAGCTGAAGCAGGAGGAGGTGGAGGAGGACCAGCAGGTATTAACAAGGTTTCCAAGTAACATGACTGCCTCTGAAACAAAGCCTGCCTTTCTCCCTTCTGCTCCCCTCCTTCCCACATACTCCACACCTGTGTGTCCTCTGCAGAGTTTGAAGGTACCTTCTTCCATCATCTGCAACTTGCCATCAGACTCAGTCTCACTTCCCTGCTTAATGTTTTTTAAGAAAAATGCACTGTAGAGTATCTTGCCTGCCAATTTGCATGTGGTAGGGCCAAAGGAGACTGTGGATTTCCTTTGTATGGTCAACTAGCTCCTTGGTACAAGGGCACCTCAAATAGGAAAAACTCAAAAAGGAAAATTCAAAATTAATTTTGATGCAAACCTATTCAAAATCCATGGGGACTGACAAGAGTTGCTCCAGACCCATCCTCAAGTACAGGAAGACTGGCCACAGGGATATGGATCACAGGGACTAGGTGGAGACCAGGTAGGGACCTGAGCTCCCTCCCACGCCCTGGCCTCCTGCTCCCTCCACTCCAGCACATGTGTGTGCACAGCCTGGTCTTTGCGTGCAGTTCCACAGACGCTGCTCTGGAAGGGACAGTTTATAGTAGGAGACTTCAGAAAGTTGGTGAGAAAGTAAAATGAAACGATACCAATTTTTGGTGCAACATTAAAGAAAAATGTTGGAATTCCTGCCTTCCCTGGTCATCTGACTTTGAGCTCCCAGAGGCAGGGGCTGAGGGTCCTGAGCTACACCCAGCATCTGTAGCAGCAACACTGTCCCTGGCTCCCCAGAGATGCTGAGAGCCAGCCTGAGCTACCTGCTGCTCTCACCAGCCTCCAGGAGGCTGAGCCCCTGCCAGTGCCATCTCACCAGGGAACCAGGGTGGATGGATCTTTCTAAGGGCCTTGGCTAGAGAAAGTACCACAGACAGTTTGCAGAGCTATTAGAGCGACAGTGTGAATCTGTTGGTGCCTTTGGTACAGACCGGTCACCCCATGTGACCAGATGGGAGTGTTGAACCCAGTGCTCCCATGTATGATGATTAACATCCAGGGACTGCCTCGTGTTCCTGGCAGGGAATCCATCAGAAGGACCTTTTCAGCCTGAAGGACCTGTCAGCCAACACAGAGAAGTCTGCCTTCCTTCTGTAAAGCAGGTGCATCAGGGAAGGAGGCTTGCCCCAGGAAACCCTCATAGACTATTTTTGAATATTCTCTGGCAGCTGAAGTGGGGTGTTTGAAGTACCGGGAGTGGCTGTGGGCCCCCAAGTTCCTTAGACACAGCAGCAGCTGCTGTCATAGGCAGAGGAGCTGTCTGCCAGGGGGTCTGGCCTCGGGACTCCCATATGGACCAAGTTGGGAACTTAAATATTCACCTCGGCCTAAAGAAGCTGGTCAGGGACAGAGTTTTGGGGGTCTTGGAAAGGAATAGTAGATTTCCCTGGTGATGGCTTGGAGAGAGGAGAGCAGGCCAGGGCCCCCGCTGCTCCCACCTGCAGCCTGCTGATGCTGCCCACGTTGGAAGGTGCCTGGGAGCGAGGCATGAATGTGCTGTTCCTCCATGAAGCACAGGGAGAGCTCATGTGGCTTAATTACACTATTCTAACACAAGTGAACTACAAGAGGAAGCCACAGCAGGCGGGCCCACACTAGTGATCAAATGTAATCAGTGTGGGAAGAGTATAGGCATTTACCCAGGTGCCTGGAGGAAGGGACACAGCATCCAGGGTCTTGCTTCTCCTTCCCCTCACTTTCCCGATTCAGAAACCGCTTATCACAGCATCTCAGGGATTGGCAGCCCGCTTGCTGTGAAAACTGTAATCACACCTGAGGCAGGGCAATGCTGGTGACTTTCCAGCAGCAGCTCCTTAGCAGTGATGTCTGCAAGCCCCTCAGTCTCCTCTAACCACACTGGAATGTGTTAAAAGGACAAGTCCTAGTCCCCGCCCTCTACTGCACAGTTAGATTCCTGCAGGATCATTTGCATGTGCTCAGGGGTTGGATCTCCCGGACGCCCATGAGAGAGACAGCTGGCCCTAGGATGCACAAAAAAACAATTGTGAAGACTGAGAGGAGTAGAGTCGCTTATAACCAATGTGTCAGCTTGGTGGGGTTGGCGATGGCCTTTTAGGGTTTTGAAATTCAAATTCTTTTAAAAACTGAGAAAGCATTAAATACAAAAAAATTATAAATACTAGAATGGGAATCAGAGCTATCACTTTGCCTGAGGCAAGCAATAGTTTCTCCATTTCAACAGTTTAATAAAAAAAAAAAAGCAACAATCTGCATTTGCTGACGAGCTCTTGTGTATAGAGAAGAGAGAAGAGGGGCAAATCTTCGCAAGATGAGCTGGATCTGCAAATACCACCTCCTGTTGCCACGGGTGCTCCACTCCCTGACATCAGCACTGCAGTATTTGCAGAACCTGAGCCATCATCCTAGCATTCTTAATACACTACCACTGTCATGAATTGCTGTGCCGCGGAGGGACTCGTGACCGTGAAAAAAGCCTGGGCATGTTCTGTTACACATGCTTTTTCTTCTGAAGATTTTTAGTCTACAGCTGGTGGAGTCCTTTAGATGCAAGCTGTGTGTGTATTGCGGTTGTCCAGAACTTTCCAGGAGCTCTGATGAGCACAGATAGCCAGGTCCTGCTTGCCAGGCCCTGCAGGAGCATCTCTGAACAGTGACTGTTCATGGCTCAGAACCTCGACTTGCCCGAGTCATTGCTAACTCAGATCCTTCCCTATGGGCTCCTGTCTGTCATTATTATTTTCAGAGAAAACAGTGCTTATATGTTACAGAGCTGGCATTTCCCCCTCTTCGTCTTTTTCAGGAGCAGTACAAGTTCTGCTACGAGGTGGCCCTGGAGTACTTGAATTCCGGCTGATGGCGTCCACCAGCCTGCAGGCAAAGCCCTCTATACCACAGGGTCGAGACGGGCCACGGTGTTCCTGTAGGAGAGATGAAGACTTCTCAATATGCTTATTTGTGCTTTGCATAATTGGCTCTTTTTAAGAGCCCCAGAGCGCATTTCTAAAACCGCTTGCACTGCCCAATTCCCAGTCATGCTGCTGCTGACGGAATCACACGCCCAGCCAGATACTGTACTCCCAGTTGCCGGCTTGTTAGAGCAGCGTAGACATCTGGTCAACCGAAGAGCACAATTATATTCTTATGAAGGGTTTTGTACCTTTGGGGGATGATTTCGGGGCCCATGAGCCTCTGTTGTTGCCGCTGAGTGTCCGTCTTTGTTCTGTGGAGAATGCTATCTGGCATTATGATGATATATTATTTTACTGAATATTTGTATTTTAACATGTTGCATAATAGAAACTCCTGTAGCTTTTCAGAACTAACAGATAAACGTGGAATGGATAAAGAGATGTTGTATGAGTTCCTGTTTCTATCAGATTTGTATTGTGTCCAAAGGAGAAGCTTGGGAGGACTCAGCTCAACCCATGTGGGACCCAACGATCAGAGATCCAAAGCTTTTCTGTGTGTTTATACTGTAAATATTTTTGATTTCATCAAATTATTTATTCATTAAAAGAAATTTTTGTGAAGCACAGTGAGTGACAATCATTTTTATCAAGTCCTGGAATTGATGTCCTGTATGATGTTACCTTGTGTGAATTCTCAATAAATGATGGCCCGTGACCAGTCCTGGTGTATTCCCGGTGTTTCAGCACACGGGTGGCAGAAGCCGCCCCTGTCACACCAGACCCCAGCGGGGAGAGCACCTGGGGGCTCATCCTGGTCGTTCTTCACTGACTGGGTAATTCATCAAGGAGAGGAACTTGTTTCTGGCTGGTCTAGAGGTGTCGAGCCCAAGGTTAAGGGCTGCTTAGGGGGAGGGCCCTCTTCCTGTGTCATGGCATGGCAGAAGAACAGGTGCACCTGTGGGACACAGAGGCAGAGCAAGGGCAGCAGGAACAGAGAGGAAGAGGCCTCACCTTGGTAGCTAAGTGACTCCCTGACCCCACATCACGACATCAGAGGGCGCCACCTGCTGGCACCAGCACCAAAGTAACCCAAATGTCAAGGTTCCATGACAGGTTTAAGTTCTGCACTGGCTGGGGGAGGGAACCTGGAAGGGACTTTCCTTCTGTGTCACATCAGTATCCGTCTTCCCCATGGCTCATGCCAGCTCCAAGCATGCCAGGAGAACAATGTGTAAAGGGCAGGCGCAGCTGAGCTAGACAGTTTCTGCCAGAAGGGGGGATCGCTGCGGAGCAAGATCGGCGCCATGGTGCTCCCCGCGGCTTTGACCTCTAAAGCAGAGGGGAGAAATGCTGCAGATATCCAGTGAAAATCAAAGTTGAGACTTAGGCTGGCTGAAATGATTGCCAGTATCTGGTGTAGACCCAGCTCTGTGAAGTTCTGGGCCACTTTCCCCTCAAGTCCTCTCCACCCCCTGAGCCTGGGTGAACCGGCGTTGAAATGACCTGAGGTTTCTGAGTCTAATGGCACAACCATTTGCCAAGCGACCCCTGGCATGGTGAAACCCTCACCTCACACTGAAGTTAATAGTTTTCTCTAAACCTTTGTCTTTTTCCTCATAGCAAAAGTGGTGATAGAGGGGATTTTTTTCCGGTTTCCCAGGAGACCTTGCAGCATAGTTGAGATCTTTCGTTTGCAGTACAGAGATCTCTGCCCCTTTGAAGCAACCAAGGCCAGCCTCTGAGTGGAGAATCCTTGTCTGATACTCTGGGCCCCTGGATTAGCTCAAGCTGAGCGTCCCAGCTGTCAGTGCCCATAGCTGCTGTGGAAGCCAGAGAACCCTGCTCCCAATCCCTTGCGTGGTCCTCAGAGAAGCTTCCTGGCAGTTTCCCGTGGTGTCGCCATTGCAGTCAACATGACAGGCATAGCTGCCTGTCTCAGAATCCCATTGCCTGTGTTTTTTCCAGCTAGAGACAGTCACTGGAATCCCTGGGCATAGGAAGGGGAGGGCAGATGTGAAACAGCGGTTATGCTGATTTTACACTCATAAAGGGGATCAGCTGTAGATCCTGCTGCTGCCCTGCCCTACAAGGCGAGCCCCCAGGTCAGCGACCACGGGCGTGAGCTCCCACCAGCCCCCTGCCACAGTGCTTCCTACACCACTCGCTGGAGTCAGCTAGAAATCGCCAACCCCCAACAGGCTCAGTGAACAGGAGGCCTTCTCCCACACCCCAAGGAAGTGGCCCCTACACACAGGCAACTCATTCCCTCACATTCCAAAGCTGTCTCAGTTCTCCGGGTGAGCTGACGCAGGCCACGCCCCGAGTTTCTCACGACTGCTCCGAAATCTTAAGCATATGAGATTCTAAGCCCAACCTCTTCCACTGCTAGCTTTCTCACTGTCTTATTCCCTAACTCGCTTCTTGCCTTTCTCCCAGTACAACCTAAACCTCATGTTGCTTCACTCTGGCGTCATCCTTGACCTTGTCACCTTGTAGTTCCACCCACACCTTACAATGGGTCAATTTTAGAGAAAGCTGCGGAAGACTTACAGTGACAGATGAGCTAAGATGACAAAACTCATATTGAACCACCTAACAGAGCTAAAAAGCTGGGGAAAGTGTATTTTGAAAACTGGTAATTCAAGGCAAATTTCCCTTTCCCCTGGGGAAATACACTAGCTTACTTAGGGGTGGGGGTGTTTTGTTTTATTTTTTTCTTTACCTTTTTATTCTTTTGTTTGGACAGAATGAAAGAAGTAGGAACGGGGAGGTGGATTTTGTTTATCGTTTTAGCTCATTTCCAAGGGGTGGTGGGTTTTGTGCATGTGTGTGTGTGTGTGTGTGTGAAATAAATAAAGTTGCTTTTGAAAATAAACAATAATAAATAAACGGCATTTAGTATCCAGTGTTTAGCGAAGTGGTCAGTGCCACGTGGGACACCCACATCCCTTATTAGAGTGCTTGCGTTCAAATCCCAGCTCTACGTACCATCCCAGCTTCCTGCTAAGACGCCTTGTGGAAGACAGCAGGTGATGGCTGGGTCCATGTCACCTGCGTGGGAGACCTAAGCTGAGTTACTGAGTTCCTGAAGCCTGGATTTAGCCTGACCCAATCCTGGATGTTGTAAATGTATCTTAGAAGTAAACCAGAAGATGGAAGATCTCTTCTTTCTGTCTCTTTCTGCCTTTCAAATAAATGGAAATAAATAATTTGTAAGTGGCATTCAGGATACTGGACACCAGACAATGAAGGACACAGATCTACAAGAAACCAGTTGGGTGACTCCTGGGATGGACCTCAGGTTACAGCCTGTGGAGAACTTCTAGATGAAGGATGCAGGGAAGGGAAACCCAAGTGGACCCCAGTGATCTGCCCCTTATATGAGGCGATAGGCCATACAGTTTAACAAGGCTGCAGTGGCTGAGGGTTGCGGGGCAGAGTACCAGAGATGAGAGAGCTGTAGGGGGAGAAGTTCCAGAGTTCTTCAGTGTCCCCCTCAAGTCTGCAAGTAAGAATGAGTTGGTTAGTGTGAGCACACAAACAAATTACCTGAGGCCAAAGAAAAGCACCCAGAAAGACCAGAGGGAGCAACGGTTGAAGCCCAGTAGGCCAGAACAGTGCCAGTGAAGAGAGCCCAGGATGCCTTGACTCCGAAAATGAGGCAGAATCATCTCCAGGCTGGGCACGGCTGAGGTCCCTACCTTGCAAAGCAGAGACTAGGGGATCCAATTGCTCCCAAGCAACAAGTACATCACGGCATGCAACTAGAGAATGTTTATAGGGGCACAGAAAGATCCAGTCCCCAAATAGACAAAATTGATAACATCCAGTATCTAATCCTAAATTACCAGGCACTCAGAGAAGAACAAAATGACATGTAATGCAGATAAAATCACTTGAAACTGACCCAGAAATAACACAGATGATAAGAGAATTAGTAGATAAGCACATAAAAAGTAGTAATTTTATAACTGCCTTCTCCATAATCAAGATATTAGAGGAAAGATGTAGCATGTTTGGCAAAGACATGAGGAATATAAAAGGAATCAAATAGGACGTGAAAGCACACAACCTCAAATCCTGCAGTTCAAAAGTGTTCTCCGTGAACTTGAATACGTCAGTAGAAACTATCCAACAGAAAGTGCACGAAGAAAAGATTGAAAACAAAGATAAACATAGAGCATGGGTGAACTATTGGAATCTCTCCAAAGCTGGAGAAAAATGGGGCATAAAAAAGATTTGCAAATGTAATAACCAAATTTTCCAAACTGGATGAAAATGATGAACTCACAGTTCCAAGAAACTCCGTGAATGCAAACACAAACAATCCAAAGAACACTGTAATCAAGTGTGTTACACTCTGGTGAAGAGCAAATAGTGTGTGCAGAAAAAGGTAAGTAGGGCCTGGCGGCGTGGCCTAGTGCTAGAGTCCTCACCTTGAATGCACCAGGATTCCACATAGGCGCCGGTTCTAATCCTGGCAGCTCCACTTCCCTTCCAGCTCCCTGCCTGTGGCCTGGGAAAGCAGTGGAGAACGGCCCAAAGCCTTGGAATCCTGCACCCGTGTGGGAGACCTGGAAGAAGTTCCTGGATCCTGGATTCGGATCGGCACAGCATCGGCTGTTGCGCTCACTTGGGGAGTGAATCATCGGACGAAAGATCTTCCTCACTGTCTCTCCTCTCTGTATATCTGACTTTCCAATAAAAATAAATAAATCTTAAAAAAAAAAAAAAAAAGAAGAAGAAGAAGAAGAAGAAAGAAAAAGGTAAGCAACAGCAGGCCAGGGCCGCCCTCACCCACCCCTGCCAGGCCTTACAGTTGGGACTCCCACATCCCACCTCAGGGTGCCAGTTTCCTGCCTATTGCATGTCCAACCCAGGTCCTTCGTGATGCGCCTAGGAAGTAATGGATCATGACTCAAGTACTTGGGCTCCTGTGCCAATGCGGGAGATTCCAGGGGAGTTTCTGGCGCCCGCCTTCAACGTAACCCATCCCCAGCTGTCACAGCCATTAAAGTAAACCAGTAAATGAAAGAGATGAAGAATCTCTAGCTCCTTTTCCTTCTTTCTCTCTACCTCTATCTCTTATTCAGCATTTCAAGATAAGAAATATTTTTTTTAAATAGTAATAACTACAGCAGACTCCAGATATATTGATTGTAAGCCAGAAGACAGACAGACAGCAGTCATTTGAAGGATGGAAGGAAAATGTTAACCTAGATTTCTATACCCCACAGAATTTACCGGCAGAAACAAAGGTAAGACACTTTCCAACATACAGAAACTGAAAAACATCACCACCTGGGCGGCATGGAGCACGCTGTGAAGGAAATGTCCTCAGATACAAGTCGGCCACTACACCAAGGCATGAAGATGCCTGGAACTATACCTCATGGATAAATATAAAAGATTGTACATTTATCATGGATAAATATAAAAGATTGTACATTTCAATATCTCAAAAAGATAGTCGCTTGAATACTACAGTGTGTGACAACAGAGAGAAGGCAGAAATGTGTTCTGAGAGTCTTCTGTTGCCCACGAGGGACACGACGCCACTAGAAGGCAGGAGCAAGTTCAAGATGGGCTCTCCAAGCGCCAGGGCAACCACCGTACAGCCAAGAGTCACAGCGGCTGAGCCGGCACGTAAAATCAAAGAAATAGACTCAATGCATCCAAAGAGGGAAGAGAGAAAAGCAGAACGATCGGGCCAGATG